AATATAGACTCCATTAGACCATTTATGACATGTCCCCTTGATTACGCTTAGTCTTGACAAGAGGTTGAGATTTTTTAATATATGATAGGGGATGTAACAAACAGAGAACAGAAGAATCAAGATGAATAACAACTTTAAGCTTCTTTGTTTCAGTACTTCATCAATGTTATCATTGTGGCAGAGAACAGCAATCATATGTCCATAGCAGCTGAGGGTGATGAACAGGGGGATGCAAAAACCAGTGAGTGTCCGTCCCAAACTGTATTTCAGATAATCTTCAATGTACTTTTCAGAGGTGGTATCAAAACACTTCTTAGTATTGTTTATGGGTGATTTGGGGACGAACATGTCTGGAAGACTTTGAACACTCACCAACAGCCAGACCATGACTGAGATAGCCACAGAATGAGTCACAGTTATTCTCCCCATCATCCTCATTGGATGGACAATAGCCAAGTACCTGTACACACTGATACAGGTGAGGAATCCAATGCTGCCGTATAAATTCAGGTTGAAGAAGAATCTTGTTGTCTTGCAAAAGGCTTCTCCAAAGATCCACTGATCACCCTTGAAGTAGTACACCATCAGAAAAGGGAGTGTGAGCAAATACAAAATGTCTGCAAGTCCAAGGTTGAAAACGAAAACAGAGACATTCCCCAGTTTCTCCCATTTCTGCAGCACTGACCTCAATCCCAGCCCATTAGCCACCATGCCAGTGATGAATACTAAAATGTAGACAGGTGGCAGGAATTTTCCTGTAAAGTCAAAGCTGATGCAAGAGTTGTTCATTGCGTCCTTGATAGCAGTCGGTACAATTCCTCCTCCTCGATGAGTGAGAGCCTTCACTGCACAGATCAAAGCACACACACATTTATACACTTCCTGAGTTGCGTCTGTAGGCTATGAGATAACTGACTCACCTCTTTCACTGAAAACAGGAAAATGTAACCATGCAGGAGTGGCAGTTTTCACACGTTTATACACTCTGTTGTTTGCTCTCATCCTGACAAAGCCATATGAGAAGTGAAAAGTGAAATAAGTTCAGCTCTAGTTTTTAGCCTATGCTTCCACAGTCTGAATCTCTGGGTTTTCAACATTTATCTTATGCCTGTTCTACAGCGTGGTTCTGTCCTGCCTGTTTAGCAACAATGAGACTGCTATGCAACAGAAAATGACCACATAATTAGCTTGTAAAAGAGGTTTCAAAACTTAAATTAACATACCAGAAAATCATTTGTGTGGATGTTACTCTAACACATACTGCCCATATTGATACTGTCCCAGCCTTACCCAAATGGTAGTGTGTTTCCCCAGTAGCACACTGCTCCCCCATCTCCTTTGGGACCTGTGCATAGCACTGTGGGCAGACTTACAAAGCAGAGAGAGGTCCACAGTGTACCCACAGTATAGCATGCATTTCCATTCTGCCCTTTGTCTTTGACACAGATGGCAGCAGATCTGGTGCAGTGCTAGCCCAGGTAATACCCGGCGGGGAGAAAGTGGTGGCATACCATAGTCGGGTCTTCAACAAAGCTGAATGCTGCTATTGTGTCACAAGGCGGGAGCTGCTCGCAGTGGTATGTGCCATACACCACTTTAAGTACTACCTCGGGGGCCTCCACTCAGAACTGACCATGCTGCCTTGCAATGGCTCATGCAGCTAGCACGCTGGATTGAGAAGCTGCAAGCTTATGATTTTGAGGTTGTACACAGACCTGGGGCCCAGCACAAAAATGCAGATGCGCTTTCCCGCAGACCCTGTGCCCAAGACGGATGCCACTACTGTGAGAGGAAGGAAGCTCAGGAGGAGGACCAATTGGTGCCCGATGTAAAGTGTGCTGTGACAGGGGTAGAGGAACGGCCATCGCCTCTGTCAGTGCGCCCCAGGGCAGCTGTGGCTACAATGTAGCTTGCCATCGCCAGTGTGTGAATGTGTGTGTGAATGGGTGAATGACTGAATGTAGTGTGAAGCGCTTTGGGGTCCTTAGGGACTAGAAAAGCGCTATACAAATGCAGGCCATTTACCATCTGGTCAGAGGCTGGTTGCTGTGGATGCAACAGAGTAGAGACATCAATAGGAGGAGGATGCTGACATCAAACCAGTGCTTGGGTGAACTGAGGAACAGCGACAACCCCATGTTGTCACGGGCCACAAAGGGACTCTGGTCCATGTTTAATGCCTTGTGGCGGTACAATGGAGTGCTGCAAAAGGGCTGGAAGGAACCAGCTACTGGCAAGATGAGGTGGCAGTTGGTGGTCCCGCGGGCCCTGCAGGAGATGGTGCTTCGCGCAGTGTATGGGGCCCCAGGGTCTGGCCACTTTGGTGTCACCAAAACACTCCGCCGCCTCCGGCAGGAATTCTATTGGGCCCAACATAGGCGGAATGTATAGGAGTCTTGCCGCTGCTGCGACAGCTGTACAGCACAAAAGTGGCCTACAGCCAAATCCCATGCCCAACTGCAACAGTTTTCGGTAGGGTACCCTATGGAGAGGGTGGGGATGGACATTCAGGGTCCTTTTCCCCGCACAGAAAGGGGAAACCGCTGTATCCTCACAGCTATAGACTATTTCACAAAGTGGCCAGAGGCACACAGTTTACCTGACCAAGAGGCCAAGAAGATTGTGGATGCTCTGGTGGAGGGGATGTTCAGCAGATTTGGGGTGCCTGAAGTAATCCACACGGACCAGGGCAGGAACTTTGAGTCCCGTGTGTTTGCAGCCATGTGCGAGAAACTAGGCTCCCATAAGACCTGTACAACACCCCTCCACCCACAGAGTGATGGTCTCGTTGAGAGATTTAACCATACACTGGCAGAGCAACTGGCGCTAGTGACGGCTAAACATCAACGTGACTGGGACACTCATATTCCCCTGGTCCTCATGGCATATCATTCAAGACTCCACTTCGTGCTCCCCTGCCTCTTGATGTTGGCCAGGGAGATCCAGACTCCAGCGGAGATGATGATGGGCCGACCCCCCGATGCTGATGGGGATCAATCAGGTCCTGACTATGCGAGGAAGCTCCAGGATCGCATGGAGTCAGCTCATGATTTTGCTAGGAGGAAACTGATGAGTGCGGGGGTGCGGCAGAAGAGGAACTACGACGTCCATTCCAGAGGCCGACATTTTGACATCGGGGAACTGGTCTGGGTGTACAACCCCTATAGGAAAAAGGGTAGATGCCCTAAGCTGGACAGTGACTGGGTTGGACCCTGTAAGGTTCTGGAACGCCTGTGGGAAGTGGTGTATAGGGTACAACTGTCCCCAAGGGGACGGAGGGTCGCCCTGCACCGGGACACACTGGCCCCCTATTGGGGCGCGGCCACTTCACTGGGATAATAGGGTGGGCCACGGACAGATCTGGACTCCACCCCTACAGACTCCACCACCATTGTGACAC